GGTAACTAAACTAATTTCCAGCTGAGATTCAATGTTTAAACAATAAAGTTGTGTTATATCAGTTGAAAGTTGAAAGAGTCTCCAGCTGCACTAAGTGCATTTCCTTTGTAAGGCAAATGGTTTTCCACGGCTTCAGGACAGCAGGACACCTTACTAACCATATATACTGCAATGCAGGTTAGGATTAACGCGTTCTGCAGAAACCAAGGTTAAGTAGCCCAATTTTTAACCCTACTCCCTCCCTCCTCAAAAAAGAACAAGACGAAAAAGAAACAAAAATTATTTCACAGAATCAGAAAAGAGGACGGTCATTCATCAGCTGCTATGACAGCTAAAACATCCAGGTTCCTAAAAGATCTTTAGTGAACCAGTATAACAAGTGCTTCAGTTGGGTGTAACTTTACCTCACATTGATAAGATACCCCTTCATTTTTATGAGCTACCAAGTTACAATGCACTAGTCCTGCTCTCAGATCATGGGAGACCAACATTCCAGTAATTCAACTACCTTTCTTGCATTCTTGTGAGCAGAGGGGAAAAAAAAATATCACATTGTGATACATCCCAGATTGTAAGCAAAAAAGCAAAGCTGCACACACAGATTTAGGTTAATCAGCCCTGAGAGCATATATTTAGCTCAAAATAGCTTTCCATTTTTGAGCACAGTGTACATCTTAGCGTTATTTAAATATAGTACTTTTTTATTATTTTAAAGTGGTTGAGTATGTACTCCCGGGAAATTTAAAGCATGCTGCTACCAGCATAATGTAAGGGGTGTTGGATAGTAAGAGTGAAAATAAAGCAAAGCATGACTTGACTTCTTAAACATGGCTAACAACAGGATCTCCAGCCATAATTTCCAGGATTATGTGCGATTTCCACTGAATCTAGCCATGCATCACTGCCATTTCAGAGTCCACAGAACATTTATTCTCAAATAGTTACTTATCAAAGCCAAATATCAACTGACTTAGGCCTTCTTTTTGGGAAGAATGGGGAATGAAGACAGCATCATGGCACCTAGGAAGCAGAGAAGATTCCGATGATGTAATTTCTAAAGCCCTAAAGATCACCTACTTTAGCTTACCACCAGCTACCAAAGTTATGTCTCTAATTTCTTTCTATACAATACCAAAAAGAAGAGATGTTCCATGAATATTCCATCTTATCCTCCCTGACAAATGCTCACAAGAATACTTCCTGAAGACCTTCAAATGAAGAGGATACTCTGTGAGACTTTACTTGATGTAACTTATTGTCTTAATGTCTTATTGTGACAGACACTGATGGCTTTGATGTTAACCACCCATTTACCAAGAGAGTACAGTGGGATACATGGGAAGATGCAAGTGTCTTGTAGTAGTATAACCTGTTCTCTCTTGCTGCATAGGTACTGCACACTCACAGAATATAATCTGGGCCTTCAACTTCTGAATCAGGAAACAGGGCATAAATAACATTTATCAGAAGAGTATATTGGACTCCTTTTTCTTGGTACAGTATACTTGTCAGACTTAAACATGAATGCAATGATAAAATTAGTTAAACTAGCCTTAAGGTTCCCTGGTGGTATCTTTTCCTTCCAGAACACTGAATTCAACAAAATCAGGATTGCAGAGGTAGGGTATATGCCTTTGCAACCTTAGCTCTGCCCTCCTAGAGCTGGCAGAAGCCAACAGGAATCATCTGCTGCATTCAAACTGTACTCTTTGCATTGGATGTAGTTGTACTGAGCAATGAAAGAATTCATTAGAGCAGCTCAGTGAAGATGCAGCTACAATATGAAGTGATCTGGGTAGCCATTGCTTCAGTCAGGCCTTCTTGGTTAGGCAATTTGTTCACCTGGCAGAATTCCTGCATGTCAGTCCCCCTGATTTCACCCCAAGCCAATTCCTCCAAACACATGTTAGCTCACTAAGTTTCAAGACAAAGAATTTTCAAAAAGCATGTGGATTATACAGCAATGAAAGGTAACCTTTAAACAAAAAGTAGTTCTCACCCTCACCCAGAACTGAGCTATTACTCTTAATATAATAAAAGGAGAATAACAACCTGCAAGAATAGGCAACCTGCTCAGCCTTGATAAGTAGCAACACTTGCTCCAATATGGATGGAACAGGCACCTGGGATGCATTTCTTTCCCCCAATGAAAGCTAAATGGAACCTTAAAACAGTTTTTTTTGTTTTTAAACAACCACCGTTCATATCCATGTTATTCCCATTGCCTACAAAGTTATTTGCAGGAAAAAGGGGACTACTTTCTATTAGGTATTAAAGAACAGATGGCAATGTTTCCCTCTAGAGGGAATTAGAAACCTGCTGCGAAAGACTAACATTTCCAAGCAAAGACTGTCATGGGGCAGAACAAAGCAGGCCACTGCCTTGCTCCATTCTATCCCGACAGCTCCTAAAATAGTTCAGTGCTTAACTATTTACCTACGAGTCATATACTAATCCCGCTACAATTTAAAATTCCTTTCAGTTCACAAACATTAGCCAAAGTGAACATGCAATTCAATTTGGCAATACATTCAATCTGCTTTAAGCCATGTATTAGCAGAGGTAAGTTAAAGTGCCTTTGTAAGGTAAAAAGGTGGAAAGCCACACTACTTAAGAGTAGCTCATTAATCTGTGCCTGGTTGTATTATGCACTGCTGAGCAAAAAGGGAGACCTCATTTGTGCAGCTGTGATTCCCTCAATTCTTAGCCACAGATACAAGAACCCTTCCTATTCCACACATGTATTGGGTCCTAGCCACTCTGTCACTCCCCCACATTTCAGATGTATGCTCACCTAAGGGCTCCTACAGCATAGCCCAGTTTGAAAGTGGGGTGCAGCCACACCCCTGCCCTCCCTCTGGATCAGCCCCCGCACCCACATCTCCAGTGAGTCTTCCAGGGAAGACATGCTGGGCTCACAAAACACACAGGAGATTCCTCAAGGATGTCATTTCATCAATAGTTTGGGGATTCCCAGAAGCAGAAATTCAGTGAAACAGAACTTCTTCCATATCTGTCCATGAAGTTCCTCTACTGTTGGTAGAGGAAAATCATGTGCCAACAGTCAAGGTGGAGGCAAAAAGCCTCTGCACAGATTCATAGATTGTTAGGCCAGAAGAGACCTTGGAAGATCATTGGGTCCAGCCCCCGCACCAAGCAGGAAAAATAACTGGGGGTCAGGTGACCCTAGCAAAGTGACCGTCCAGTCTCTGCTTGAAGATTTCCAGGGTAGGTGATTGCACCACCTCTGGAGGGAGCTCATTCCAGTCTGGACACCCTGACTGTGAAGACGTTTTTCCTAATGTTGAGCCTGAATCTATCTTCCAGGAGTTTGTGGTCATTACTCCTAGTTTTCCCCTCGGGTACCCTGGTGAACAGTTGCTTACCAAGCCCTTGGTGTGCTCCCCTAGTATAGTGGTAAGACTGATGCATGCCAGAATATTATTTGCCCTACTGCCTACAGCATCACACTGCCAGCTCATATTCATACTGTGGTTTATTATTACCTCCAGGTCCCTTTCATCTGTGGTGCTAGTCAGATGGCTAAAGGTCAGCAGAATTTGGTGGTTACTTTGTGGTCTGTCCCGAGGAAATCAGAGATGTTTTCTCAGATATAAAAAAGCAAAAAGAAATCTTAACGATGACTTGAGATTTTTTTTCCCCTTAACTCCTCCTATGCGTTTTCATGGCAGTCACTTAAGTTAGACAATGCAGAAAACTAAAATTTCTCTTACAGCATTAGGTTTTGCTAAGAAAGCTTCTGCACCAATGGGAAACAAACTGCTTTAACACAGAAGAAGTTAGATTGTTAATTTGTTTTACAAACCTGCTCATTAATTTATTACAAGAGAGACACCTAGTGGTTAGCCACTAAAATTTGACAATGTGATAATTATTCCTTATCCATAAATAAGAGATTAGCTGCACAGGAAAACCATTCTGAAACTGCGACTGTGGTCAAAACCAATGATAAACACCCCTCCCCAACTCTTAACTGATGAAGCTAGGGAGGGAAGGGAGGACAGGTGAGAAAGAAGGGACCATTAGGCAAATAACTGCCACACAAGGCTATTAACAGAAGCTAAATACAGCATTACTGGCATTTTCCCCCTGAATTAACACTGACATAAATTAACTCTGGATATGCATGTACAGTGCACACCAAAGTGCTCGTTATCAAGCCCATGTAGTTTTGTGCTTACAGTATTACATATTTTTTGAAAGTGTTTGTCTGGTAATAACCCAGATTTATATTCACTGTCTTGCCCTTCCTGAATGGGAGGGATTTTTAGCAATTGGCACCTTCTCTCTTTAAGCAGTTCTTTCACCCTGGAGTACTTTTGAACAGAAAGCAAACTAGTAGTCCTTATTACAGAGATATGGAGCTTACCAGTATATTATTTCCTTACTGTTAAATGCAGATAACTTTTAGTATAAAGCAACAGCTGTCAAAGCTGTCAGCTTAATTTAAACCCAAGAATTCTCCACAAGGAAACACCAAAGCAAAGCCACTTTTATTAAAAGCTGTATTCCTTTACCACATCTATGTCCACACGTAAATGCCTATACTTACTTATGAAAAAAACCCCATATACAAAGAAAATGTTTCATTGACTAGCACTACCAATCATAGTGTGATGCCATGCTAATAACTTTAGTGCTTCTTTTTCTGATTAAGCCAGTCAGTGAACACTTTTGGACCAGCTGAAGTCTGAGGAACAAATCATCACTGAAGAACCTGAAAAAGCAAGAGCGCAGAGTACTACTGGGCTGTAAGAGATACCAGCTGCTACCATGTCAGTATGCTTCCCTAGGATATCTCTACACTTATATTTGTATGCACTATTTACTATCTTACATAAGTCTATCACAAGAAGTGGCATGTGACCTTGAAAAATCTTTGATCTGCCAAATACACAAGCATTCCCTTCTCTAGTTTAACAGTTATTGGAAGATTTTCTTATCAGTGTTCCCACGCTTCAAGCTAATTAGAAACTCACCTAATATTGAAGAAGGTTGTATTTTCTCTCCTTTTTGAAAATCCAATAGGTAATGTTTTCAAGTGGATGTTGTACTTCCGAGCTCGGCGTTTCAATACATTTATCTACCAGAAAATAAAATTTAAAAAAAGGTGAAAGATGAAAATATTTATTATTTCTGTCTTGTAAATCTAACACTGAACAAAAAGAATTGCCCTGGAATGAAAATCTTTCACAGACACTTTGGAATATAGGATCAAAATAGGATCAACCATATACACAAATTTGTATTTATAGGCAAAAGAAAAAAATCTCAAATCAGGCAGACAAGGTTCTTTGGGTAAATCTGATATCTTTTATTAGACCAACTCAAATAGTTGGAAAAATTCTTCTTAAGAAGCTTTTGGGTATAAATACCTGTCACCAGGCTGAAGAAGCATCACTTCCTCAGCCTGACGAAGGGTATTTATACCCAAAAGCTTGGGTATAAGCTTTTATATTCCATCTCCCCACCTGAAACTTACCAGCAAGCAGAGAAGCCTTGACGGGGGAGGGGGCGCTATTTGTTTTTTTTGCACTGAGCTTGCCAAAAATGTGGAGCCCGCCCAAAATTATGGTTTCCGCCAAAAAAAAAAAAAAAAGCACAATCGTGATTTCAGTAGTTCCCTACTTATAACCCCTAGTATCCCACCATCTCAACACCTTGGATGCATTTAACCTCCTGCCACCATTGCGATATATCGGAAAGTGCTCACCTGTGTCTGTATAAATTGTCTGTCCTAACAGAAAGCCAATTTTTTTTTCAATTTAATTTTGCACCTAGCTATCAACAAGGTCTCTTCTCAACTAAGATGTTTCAAAATTACATTTAAAGGTGACCTGCAAAGGGCTAGAACACAATACTGAGTTGGTCTCTTTTAGTGTTATTTTGGCTTTATATTTTTTTTCTTTTCTGTTATTATAATTCTAGGTGTGGCCAAACAAGTTACCTTATGTAAGCTATGACAAACTTTGAGCACAGCAGCTACTTCCATGGTAACTGTCTGCATATACACTTCTACTCAGTGAAAGCAGAGGAAACTAATTTGTAAATTCTTCAGGATAAAATCAAAACGCCCAGGCAGTTATCCCAGATAAACTGATGCACTGGACGTTTACCTTCTAGTTTACCTTAGGTAGGTTCATGTAGCCATATCCTTGAAAACAACAGTAATATAAAGCAGGGGCTGTCTTTGCATTCCTCTTTCTACAACTCCATTTTGCTCCCTTGGAGTTTTATATTTAATTTGTTGTGCTCCCTAAACATCACCCTTCCTTTCATAGGTAGTCGCATGACAACTGTTTGGCAACTAAAATCATTATTTACATGAGAAAATTGTGTATAAAAATGCTGAAGAAAAACTTTCAAGAATTTTTTTTATATATCATAGAAAAGCAAAAGTAAACATATCAATTATTTTTTACAACATATAGTTTTAGTAATTACTTTTTAGCGATTAGATTTTGGAGAACCATCATTTCTCTTATACAATGGTGGAGTTTTCCCTTAACTTACGTCTGGGCAGCAGACACACAATTCCAAGCCTAAAATTCAAGTGCATTTGTATCTTCAGTTCATCACAGAAAAGGACCAGCTATGAAGTTTGGATTTGGAATGACTCCGTTTGGAGGTCAAGGGATGTATTAGTGGTGGAATCCAAGTTTCTAAGCCAGGTCCACCTCTACTTTAGACTGACCAAGCTGCAAACTTGAGACTTACACTTTTGTTAGCTGTGCGTCTATGCAAAGACACATCTCGAGCAGCACAGTCAGCCAGCCTTCCTACGTCTTCCAGGAAACGATAATCTGAATATACAAGGAACAGGAAAAAACATGTAATGCTAACATTAAAGGTGGTGATGTTTATAGTTTAAGAAAGATTCTTACCACTTAGAAGGTTCAAATCACTAAATTCATTTACAGAGACAAATGCCGTCTTCTCCCTTACTCCATTACAATTCAATGCAACTTTGTGTTTCTTTACACAGGGCAAACTGAAGGGATTTAAAAAAGAAAAAAAAAAGTGAAAACTTCCCATCTTCAGGACAAAAGAAGACCAGAAACAATGTAACATTGATCACATACCTGCAAGAGTACTTCAAGCAACGAGGACACCTGTACTTTGCTTCCTCTCCCCCACAGCTTTCACATCTGAAACAAGAAAGGGAATTCTCTTTTTATGGTTTTAGGTCATTGCATCTGATATAGGACAGAAATGCTTTTGCTCAAAAAACAGGTTCTTTATGTTCAAAAGTCTGCAGTTCAAAATTTTAAGAAGAGGTAATTTGAGGCTTGAAAGCAGGAAAAGAAACATGCTGCAGCTAAGGCTGAGGTTTCAAAACATTTTCCTGGTGTAAGCTATGACTTGAAAAAGATTTTATAAAACAGAAGGCAGCTGAGCCTCCAGCTCCACTGGAAGTCAAGGAGACCATTTGAAAATCTTCCACAAAGAGAGTAACTAAGGAGTGGCATCTCTTTCATTATTGATCACACAGACCAGGGCTGGACAAACTATAGCAGGAATGCCATAAGTGGCACAGAAGGGTGGCATGTGGCAGATCAGGGAGCAGGCAGGCAGCACAGTGACAGATATGGCAAGGAACAGAAAACAGAGCAGCAGATCAGGAAGTGGAAGGGGACTGGAGTGGCACTCAGGAACCGTACAGGGCTCGTTTGTGGCATGCCTACCAAAATGGTTGGCCCCCACTGATATAGACTGCCCTTCCTCCCACTGGCAATCATATAAAAATGTTATGGCCCTAAAACAAATGCTGATATAGTAAACACATATTTGCCTTTTTCAACTTGGACCTAACAGCTAGAAATGATGAAAAGTCAGGCTTATCTGAGTACCATATCCTCAACAGAATGCGTAAGTCAGAAACAGTATGCAAGTAAAAAAATCTGAAACACATTATGAAAAAAAATCAATTATAAAAAAATATGTTACTAAAATTATGGAAGGTGCTGCATTCAATTTCTTTTTTTTACTGGAAAAGTTTTGATTGAAAAGTGGCATGCTGTTTTTAAGCTAAACTATTTAATGCAAAATGAATGTTCCAGTTCCTTTCAGTTCTTGCAAAACATTTTTGATATTTTAACTGGAATGCTTATTGAAACATTTCAATAAAAAAACCCCAAAAAACAAACAAACAAAAAACCCCAAAAAACAAACAAACAAAAAAATCAATAACCACTTCAATAAAAACAATAATATCGTGCAACAAAAATGGGTCATTTTTTAACACAGCACAGCAGAAACAATTGAAATATCTTGCTATTTCCCTCCAAATCCGTTTTCAACTAGATCCTGTTATGCAGACCATGTCTGGCAACATTTTTCCGGGCAAGAAAATTACTCCATATATGGGTTATACACATTATACTATAAAGCAGGGGTGTTAATCCTATGGCCCATGAAGCCCTGCCATTCTGCCCCTGGGTCTGAGTATACCCACAAAGGGCCGTCCCGGAGCGGCTGGAACGGGCGTCATGTGCAGCACAGTCTGGCTGGGAGCGTGTAGTGTGGATTCTAGAAGCGCTATACAGTGCCTGCCATGTGCCACATAGGGCCCCACTCTTAACATGCCACACATTGCACCTACCCTGATAGCTCTGGGGCTATATTGCACATGGAAACACCTTCGCCAGCTGCATGTAAGCAGATCTGGGATCTGCTTACATGCAGCACTTACCTCTGCCACACACAACATAGGTCTCAGCCTAGCTGGAGCAGGTGCCACGTACAGCAGGTCCCAAAGCATGTGCCACAAATGGCTCAGCCTGGTTGGGGCAGGCGCAACACACAGTGCTGCGCTTACTTGGTCAGTCTGGGATGCACACTGTACACACCTGGCTGGGTTGCGCTGCACACGGGGCCATATGAATTTGATACTCCTGCTATAAAGTAGGGGTTCTCAACCTTTTTTGAGACTCAAGGCACCCCTTGGAAAATGCCAGCTTGCAGTATTCACCCATGTTTCAGACTAGAGAAAATAAGCAACTCTTCTGTTGCAAAGAACTCTGAAAGATTGCAACAGATCAATGTTTTGGATACCACAGGTTTCTCTGTGAAATCTCTGAGTTTATCTTATGAACCATGTTTGCACACTTAGCACTATGTGGCCTCTCACAGAATTCTTCAAAAGATCTCAAGGCACTGTGGGTGCTACAGGCCCCTGGTTGAGAATCACCGCTAGAGGTTTAACACTACTAGGAAGAAGATGGCCCTGTTTGCAGGCTGCAGAATGACCCACAGCTCGTGAGCACACTAGTAAAAAGGCCCGCCCCATCCTGTTTCTGTGCAGCACCTCACACCTTTTGGCAGTAGTAGAGGCAAAGGGCAGTTTGAGTGCACAGGACCTGCCTGTGCCTGGGGCATGGTCACAGAATGAGAACACATTCATCTGCCCCTGTGGACACGCAGCCCTGTGCCCACGACAGAAGGCATGGCGTAGGGCGGAGGCTGGATCAGGCACGAATCAGCCTTGTGCCCTTGCAGGCAAAAGGCTGAAAAAAACAAACTGCAGGAGATGTAGGAGGTACCCACTGGGACCAGGCTGGACTGGGCACCCACCGCACTTGTGGGTGCAGATCTCACGTCTTCACCCCCAACCAGCCCAGCGGGACTTGGACAGCCCAGCAGCACCCATGGTGGATGGGGGGAGTGCAGAGGGGAAGGGAGCAGCTGCTGTCACAGCTCTGGATGCTCACCTCTGCAGGGACAGCTTCCCACGGCTGTGTGCTGGCTGTACAGTACTGCCTGGGCCACACTCTGCACCCAGCCCACTGTGGCTTGCTGCTGCCTCCACTGCCGCTGGCAGAGAAGCCACCTTTGCCTCCACCTCCATGGGAACCACTGCTACTGCTCCTGTCTGTGCCGCCAGGAGAGCTGCTGCCGCCACTCCTGCTTCCTCTGCTGCCACCAGGGGTCCTGCTGCTGCCTCTGCTGCTACCAACACAGAGGGAGATGCCTCTGGAGATGTGCCTGCCTCTGCCTCTTTCTCTACTTCCAAGGGAACTGCTGATACTGCCAAGGAAGATGCCTCCACTTCCACGGGAACCGCTGATGCTGCCTCTGCCTCCACCTCCATGGGGACCACTGCTGTTGCTCCTGCCTCTGCCGCCAGGGGAGCTGCTGCTGCCACTCCTGCCTCCTCTGCTGCCACCAGCGGTCCCACTGCTACCTCTGCTGCTACCAACACAGAGGGAGATGCCTCTGGAGATGTGCCTGCCTCTGCCTCTTTCTCTACTTCCAAGGGAACTGCTGATACTGCCAAGGAAGATGCCTCCACTTCCACGGGAACCGCTGATGCTGCCTCTGCCTCCACCTCCATGGGGACCACTGCTGTTACTCCTGCCTCTGCCGCCAGGGGAGCTGCTGCTGCCACTCCTGCCTCTGCTGCTATCAACACAGAGGGAGATGCCTCTGGAGATGTGCCTGCCTCTGCCTCTTTCATCACTTCCAAGGGAACTGCTGATACTGCCAAGGGAGATGCCTCCACCTCCACGGGAACCACTGATGCCGCCTCTGCCTCCAACTCCATGAGGACCACTGCTGTTGCTCCTGCCTCTGCAGCCAGGGGAGCTGCTGCTGCCTCCACTGCTGCCAACAGGGAGGAAGATACCTCTGCCCCCCTCTCCGTCCCTACGGGACCCGCTGATGCCGCCAGTGCCCCCAGCGCCAGGGGAGCTGCCGCTGCCACTCCTGCCTCCTCCAGGGGTCCTGCCGCTGCCTCCACTGCTGCCAAAAGAGGACACGTCTCTGGAGATGCCTCTGCCTCCACCAGACCCGCTGATGCCGCCACTACCCCCAGTGCCGGGGGAGCCGCTGCCGCTGCTGCCTCCAGCCTCGGCACCAGGGGAGCCGCTTCCACCCCTGTCTCCACGGGAAGCGCTGCCACCAGGGGCCGAGCAGCCGCCACCGCTGCCGCCGTCAGAAGCGCTGCCTCCACCTCCACCTCCACGGGGAAAGCCGGCCCCACCGCTGCCACCTGCACGGGCATCGGCGCCTCTGCCTCCACGGGTGGAGCCTCCGGAAAAGCAGCGCCGGCCCCCGCCTCCACGTCCACAGGAGCCGACACCGCCGCCTCCGCCTCAATGCAAGGAGCCGCCGCCACGCTCGCCTGCGCCATCGCAGCCGGCTCCGTCGCTACCGCCACCGCGGCCCCCTCCATGGCAGCCACCGCCGCCGCGCGTGGTGTAGCCGCCGGTGCCGGATTCCGCGCCGAGCTGCGGCGTTTGCGACACGCAGCGGCGCTTGGCGGCAGCGCGGCGACCTCTCGCGGGTCCACCCGGCTGCTGCCGGCTGGGCGGGG